GGCTGGTTTGAAGCAGCTGTATCTGTGTTGCCTTTCTCTGCAGGGTGCACTTGCATTGTGCCTGTACAAATTATAATGGCTAACTAGTGTTTTGATGGAACTTGTGTTTCCTCTGGTTTCTCCAGATTTGTAACCACTCACCAGCACTTGGCTACGTTTGGTGTGTTTTGCTGCTTTCACAGACTGCTGTCTTCATATTTTGCTCTTCCTTGCACTACAGGGGCACTACTTCAGTCTTCCTGACCCATGACTTCCCAGTTGATGGCTGTCTCTCACATAGGTGATTGTGGAAAAACACGCTGGGAAATCCGAGTGGGGTGACAAGCAATATGTTACATTGCCAAATATGAAGTGCATCAGCTGAAATAAGATGAAATTACTGTTATTTTCCAGGGCTGGAGAATAAACTGGTTAAAGAAGGGCAGAGGCTCTTTGAGAGGGAGACATCTCAACATTGTTGAGGTAACAAAAAGCATTTCCTTGAAGTTCATGAGGCGCTGTGGGGCCGGTCTGCATGAGAGGCTCGGTCTGTGAGCGATTTCCTCGGCTGTGCTGTGGCTGCAGGTAGGGTCATGCTCACTTTATCTGTTCTGTAGTTCTCCCTCCTCACCAGGCACAGGCTGATGTGATTTCAGTTCCCCTGGGTTTCCCGTGGTGACTCAGGCTTCTGTGTGCACTGCCATGAGGTCAGACATTCCTTGAGAGCATCCCTAGTGCTATGTGGATGGTCTTCAGCCCCCTCGACGAACGCGTCTCCTTGCAGAGATGTCCCTTCCTGCTTGAAATCTGAGTCACTTTGCAGGAATGAAATGTGCTCATGCAGTACAACTGGTGTTATTTGTTTAAAAGGAGATTGGAGTCAACATTCTTCTCAGTTCCTCTTTCTGTGGACCTGTCTGCTGTGGTCCAGCCTGTGTGTCTGGGAATATTTGGATGAAAGAGCTGTGATTTCTCAGCAGAGCTCTGGATCACTTGAACTGGTGGCTCTGAGGCTTCACTTTATTTCCCCCTCCAAACTCAGTGACAGAAAGCTGTTATGTTTGACAGCAGCTCAGCTTCGTGTGCTCCGATCCCATGTCTGTACCTGCAACACAAGCTGCATGAGTTGGCATTCCTGCTTAAAATCTGAGGAGCAAAGCAGTTGTGCTGCCTTCTTGCCTTTGCATAAGAACGTTCCAAGTGACGTTGTGCAAGTGGTGCGGGAAGAATATCGTGGTTGTTGCAATCAAATGTATTCCATGCTTCTCAGCGTGGTTTGTGTTGCAGGGTGAATTTGTCGTACTTAATGGTCATCATCTCCTTGATGGCAAAAATTCTTGTATGGGCACAGTCTCTCAGAGAGGAGAGCAGCTCGTTGGCTGCCTTTTGCCACTTGGAATATAGCTGTGCTCGGGCATACAAAAAAGTACTCCATTACTCTGTGCTGCACCCACAGTGAGAGGCTGGTGTAATCCATGGCAGCAGAAGTCACTACAGAACGCTGCAGGGAGTTCCTCTCTCCTTGGGCAGCACAGCCCTGGCTCCAGCAGTGCGCGCTCACCGCTTGGGGCACGGCGGCGCTGGCTGCACGGCCGCTGGGCTGAGGAGCTGCAGGCAGAGCAAAGCTGTGCCTGTGTGCTCCCAGTGCTCACCTGGCTGCCGTCTGAAGGCTCCTGCCGAGCTCTTCCCAAGCTCGCAGCTGGAGCCCCTTGTTTGCTGTGCGGGCACTCGGTGTTACTGCCGAGCCTGCAGTAATGCAGAAATCATCGAACGCTGTGATTTTGGATGTTCTTGTCAGTTTTATCTTCCTACTGTTGATCGCTATTGTTCTTTCACCGTCTTAAACCTTCTCCTGCATCAGAAAACCTAAACCCTGTAATTATGTGCTCTGTACCTGATTTTCTTTCTATATTTTTTGGAAAAATAGTTAAAACTGTAGTACCAGATGTGGGTAAATGAGAAAAATAAGGAAAATAAGTCATCGTGAACTGAAGAATGTTTGGAGATGGGCTCTTAGAGATCCAGTCACTCGCAGGGATTTCCATCCCATGAGTGCCCCATAGCTGTGCTTGGCATGACGGCACGGTTTATGGGCAGTGAGCCCATGGGTGATGCAGAAGACAGCTCGAGTCATTCGGAGTTCAGTATGTTTGCTGTTCACACGTTTGCTTGGCTTTGGGCTCGTGATGGTAGGGTAATACTTCAGTATCAGAAGTCAGTGTGAAGCAATTGTGCTGTTACGCGGTGAGAATTTTGAGCTGCTGGAAGGATCCTGAAAGAGAATCTGCTGGAAAGGAAATGAAGGGATGGGAGTTACTAGGAGCCGGTAAGCAGCGTGCTGCAAACAGCGAGCTTCAGAGTTGTGCAGGCTTTGGCTGTAGTGCAGCTCCTGGCACAGCGAGCGGGTCCAGAGCAAGCAGGTCAGCCTGGCACTTTCCCTGCAGCCGTGTGTGCAGCCGTGTGTGCAGCCATGTGTGCGGCCATGCCTGGTCTGGAGGCAGGCAGGCGGTGGGTAAGCGGTGTGCAGGGCTGGCTGGCACGGCGGGGAGGAGCCAGGCCCGCTGGTGGCTGTGTGAGGACACTGCCAGCCCGGCTGCTGGAAGCGTTGGTCTGCTCGCTTCTCTGTGCTGAGCCCTGGTGGCATCCCTGCAGTGCAGGTGGAAGAAGTGCCGATACAACTAACCACATGAGAGGGTGCTTTCAGCAAGCAGAACAAAAAGTGAAAAGAATTCCTGAAGAGGCCGATGTGGAAGCAAATGAAGTTCCCTTTCCAGAGCGTGGAAGGGCTGGAGCTCCTGGGAGATTGTAAGAATGTTTTGAACATGGCAAAGCAGCGTTGTTTTTCTCTAACTTCGTTCCAGCACATTGCTGACTGTTTAGCTTGAACGTTGATATATTTAGACTCCTTGGTTTAAAAGTTTAATGGGCATTTTCTGTCTCAGACTGTAATTCCTGCTGGTACCAGTCGGTACTTCTTCCGAATGCCTGAATGCTGACAAATTTTAACTGTATTTGGGAATTTTTTTCAGGCACCTGTGATAATGATTTGGTTAACTCACGCTGCTCAGTCAGTGAGAATGTGCTAAAAAATAATGCTCTTCTGAGTGTTTCCAAAGTAAAATGTATTTTGTTTTTTAAGGTTTCCTTGGACCATTCCATCCATTGATGTTAGGGAATTTCTTCAGTTTTGTAATGAGATCCTCCTGGTTGGTGCAGAACTGCAGTAGGACCATATGTCTGTTGCTGTGGGTTCTTCCCAGCAGAAATTAGACACGAGAAACATCTGGCAGCGACTTGTAAGGAAGCAAAGTCGAGATCCAAGTTCTGATAACACATTTATTTTACTTTTTTGCATAAGAATGCTGCTGTTAACTTTTTTCCCTGGTCGTAAGGAGGAGGAACAGAAAGCTGGATTTAAATCCTCGTGGATGGTTTTTGTTTTTCTGCATGCAGTTGAATCTTTTAAACTAAATGCAAATTCTGCTGTAAATATTAACACTGGAAGTATACTCGTGTGGGCTGTGAGTTTTCATGGCTCTGTTACTATAGGGCTTAGGATTGCAAGTAGCCGATTCTCACGCATTGAGGCTACGGTTTGTGTTTTCTCCCCTCACTCCCGGAATATCAGGCCGCCTCTGCCACAGCAGTCATTGTGCTGCCCTGCCTTCCCTTTGTGCCCTGTGTCACTGCTGTTGTGTTCTGTGCTGATGGAAAGTGCTGGCCACGTGTGTATGAAAAACCGTCCCGTGCTCGTCGGCAGTTAGCGCAGATCCCACGTGTGACTGAAGTCTTGAACTCCTGGCCGTGCCCCTTCAGCACTGCTCCTGCCTTCTCAGAAACTTGTCATTAGCTGTGGTGTTCTTCGTTAGCTGGAGCAGCTTTCACTTGAGACTGAGACGTAGCTGGCTGCAGACCATCCCCAATGGCTGTGCTGTTCAGGCTGGCCGTGCGCAGCTGCGTCACTCTGCTGCCTGAGCCGTGCCCATCCACCACCGCCTTTAGCTAAACAAGAGGGCAGTTGTTGCTACATTACCCATATTTTAGAGTTATTGACTATTTATCCATTCAGCAGTGCTGACAAAGGTAGCTTCTAACTCCTGTTGTGATGAGAACATGCAATTTCTTGAAGAAAAAGAAATAGCTGTGTTGTGACTGCAGCTCGGACGTTGCTCTTAGTGGTATTTCGGCACACTGCAGCTCAGTTGGGTTTCAGTGCAGTGCGACTCAGAAGGATTTCTTGCTGCTCCTTTTCTCTGCTTCCGGTCCAGCATGGGAATAATTTTAAGCACACGAGTCCCATTCAGATCATCCCGAGCAGGAGCTGCAGCCAGCTGGAGCAGCCCTAAGTGCAGCCAGAAAGGCCGTTATGTTTGTGTGCAGGTTTAGCTACAGCAGCCGTGTGCCTGAAGGCTGGAGATAGATGTGACACGTTATCCAAAATGGCCCATTGCTCTGCTCTAGTGAATGCTGCCTTTGCCTGCATCTTCCTGTGGTTTAATCTCGTTCCCAAGTACAGCTGTATTGAGGATCGATCTCGGGTTCCTTTGTCCCACTGCTGTATTCTCACCCATGCTTCATGCATAGTCTCACTCAGGATTCCTTTCTCTGTGAACTCTTGATGTGAATTTAGATTTATGCTTCATCTCAAATGTAATGTGGAGACTTGAAATGATGCTTTGTGAGGGACGTGGGGCTGGAAAGCGCTGCCCAGCCCTTGCCTCTGGTCGCTGGGAGCTGGAGGCAGCAGGCACCATAAAATCCTCTCCTTAAACCCGGCATTTTTGTTCCCACTGCTCGGACTGAAGGGTTGTGCAGACCCTCATTGATCTGATGGTTAGATGTGTTTGCGGCCAGATTATATTCATTTGTTCTTCTGCCAGCGTTGTGCTCCAGCTTCAATAGCTCCTCTTTCATTTAAATGAGGCTGTGTATGTATGGGGGTAAAAGCCCGGTGCATCAGAACGCCGTCAGCGTTACATCACTTCTTCAGTTCACGAGCTAAGCCTAACACATCTCCTCAATGACTAAGTGCACTTGCTTTTCCTTTTGCAGCTTTACATGTGGTACTCATGAAAATGAGGCTGAGAACGCGGAAGGCTTCTCAGCAGTCCAATGCAATTCACGCGCAGCGCGCACAGAGGGCCAAGAGGAAACACTCGGAGGTGGAGGAGAGCCTGCCTGGCGGCGGGGGGAAGCCGCAGAAAAATGAGACGGGCCTCCTGTCTTCAATCAAGAAGTTTATTAAAGGCAGCACGCCCAAGGTACCGTGTCAGTGGGTTTCTTCTTTTGTTCGTTAATTGTGTCAGATTCTAGGAATGCTTCTATTCGGAATAAATAAAAATATGTAATTGGAAAGGCAAAGGCAGGGCTAAACCACTTAGTCTCACCTGTCTGGGTCCAAACAGAAACCTGTGCTTGCCAACCTTCACATGTTCAAACGTGCTGAAAGGAATTGTTGAGGGAGAAGTCTGTATTGCTTTGATAGGCTGAACGTAACCTTGCAGTTGCTTTAATAGCTGCTTTATCCAGAAGGAGAGGCCGGCCAAAAAAGGCTCCGCTCAGTCCCAGCAATCTGATACTGACATTGTGTAGCTGTGAGTTGCAGAAACGAAAACAAACAAACCGAAAACACCAAATGTCATAAAACATCAGATATGGTGTCATAAACTGCATGGTTTAGAAAAACAAAGAGGATTCAAACTCAGCATCTGTTTTTTGAACCACGTGTTGAAAGGATAACTTTGTAACAAGGTGAAGCCGAAATCATTTAATTACCGTAACAATATATTCTTACGTGGTCACAAATATTGTGAAATTTAATCTTTAAAGTGTTAATTACTTATCATGGGAACATTGAGGTGCTGACCAAAACACTTCATAAGAAGTAACTGATTGAAGCCGTTTACGTTTCATTTGTCATTAAAGCAGGCTAACGAATCCATTTTACATTGAGCATCTACAGAGCACGGCTGTACGACGTTTTGGCTGCAAAACCGTTGCAACAAAAAGCTGAAACATAAGCAAAACGTTTTACACAGGAATTTTAAGATGAAATCTCCCGTTTTCTTTGTGTCTTTAAATTGCTGACTTCTCTCTCCCATACCTTGGAATTACGTTTCATTCCTTTGTTGACAGCTTTTTTAAAAAGTAAAATGTCCACGTTTCCTTCTGTTCCCTTTCACGTCCTCTCCTGTGTCTGTAGCAGGACTTGGAGTGGCTCCAGTGGCATCAGCACGGCGCGATATTGATACTGCCGGGCTATCTTCCAAAGCGCTAATGACTTAACAAAGTAGTCTTCTGGCTGCCATGGAAACGTTATGACTCTTGAGATAGTGCATGTGTGCAACTTGCATAGCAGGTCGTTTATGGGTATGTTAAGATCTCAGTCTCTGCAGAGATGATATGGATTTATGGCCGTGTCTGCAGAGCTCGCGTATCTCGACGATGTTGCTGATAGCTGTGACTCGTTTATCTGAAGCGGTTTAGGTGGCTTACTGGGAGCATCCCTCCAGCAAACAAAACCGAAAGAACCGTAATGCCGTTCCCTAGGGGAAATGAGAGGCTGCCCTGTGGCTGCTGGGTTCTGCTGGGGTCCAAATCACGGCCCCTGTGGAAGACAAGAGTAGTTGTGGAACATGAAGTAGAGTTTATTTGTAAGACAATAAATGTGATGCACCAGAAAGACCAGTAAGTGCATGTGTACAGCAAACACTAACGCTACAGCTAAGATACTGAAGTTTCAGAACCTGAAATATTGTGGAATTTGCCATTACACCAAGCTTGTTTGATGTGGGGAATTGTATGTTGTCAGCAAGTACGGCAACAATTGTAGCACTGTCACAAAGGGCTGCGTGTGCTGTCAGGACTTTCTGGCCCAGTTTAGGCCTTTCATTCATCCATACAAACTTCCTGAAAACCTAGCCCAAGTGAACAAGTGGTTCTTGGTGGTGTGGCACTGCCACGTTCCTATGGCACAGTTACCAATAATAAGGGGCTGTACTGAATAGATCGTGTAATTCATACACATGAAGTTCAGCGAGCACTTAATAGGTGCATCTAACAATGTATCTGTGCAATGAAACTTCCACTGTAGGAACCAAGTAGGATTACTGCCTTGTATGTAATTTCATCTTTAAATTCTAGCAACAGACCACTTGAACTCTGGCAGGGTTGTTTGTGATAGTGTCAGGCTCTCCTCGTCTACTGATCGAGATTGATGCTCACATTACATCAGTGTTTATTAGTGCTTCGGGGCTTGTTTCTTGTGGTTTTTGCCCTCTGCCCTCCCCCTGGCACAGCCTCCTCCCTGCAGTGGGGCAGTACCCTTTGCTAGGTGTTGTGTGAAGGGCAGAGGATTGCTTTTATAACTTAATTCATTTCTCCCTTTTTTTCCCCCCTGTTGAATTTGTACACATGACCAAGAAGATGAGGTGCTCTGCTGCTCTTTTATCTGTTCAGTGAGCCATCTGTTTTCTCTCACTTTATGAATGTATGGTATATATGATATTATTAATTGTGTGTGGTAGTAATCAGACCATTGTCACCAAGGTGCTTTGGTCATGAAGGTATTGCCAGTGGGAGCTTTTGGGATTGGAGGTGTTCACACGCACCATCTTCCCTACAGGGGTCTGTGCACCTCCACGTCTGCCAGTGCTTTGGGTGCTGCACTCTTAGCACGGGCTTTAGATCGGTTTTTCTGAAGGATCAATTTAATTATTTCTTGGAGCAAGCAAACTACTTTTCTCTTTCTTTTGAACTGTGTGAAACTGCTGCTCTGAGAAAGGTAACTTTGTAATTCTAGAATTGAAATTTTAATTCACGTTTATGTGCTCAATGCCCTTGTTATTTACCTTTGTATTTAATTGCATTTATTTTGCTTTGTCTCACACCTTACCTTTCAATGCAGTCTGTATGGTCATGCTTTAGAGTTTGGATTGCTGCTGTGCTGAGGTGCAGATGGGGGAACAAGGGGAGGAGACCTGTCTTAAGTAGCTGTGCCTACAAACACAGCAGTGCACAGAGGACGTGCAGAAATGGTTCATTCTATACCACCCACGTGTCACAGGGGAGAACAGTGGTTTACTTAGAGGTAAAGAGAATGGTTGGGTCCCATCCCTTTCCTGTCCGTGTGCACCAGCTGTGTGTTGCCGTGTGCCGTGACGCGCAGTCAGCACGAGCAGGTATGTCCCTGTGTGCAGCTTTGCAAACTGTTCTGTATAGGGGCACGATGGGAAATCTTATGCTGGATGTTATTGGGCAGTTTTCTTCCTTTACATTCGAACTGCTAGAGAAATCCATTTTCTTACCATTTTATTGTCCTGTTTCTATGCTTCTCTAACTCCACAGCACTGAAATAATTATAAATTTGCTATCCATTAAAACAGTATTTAAAGGCAATTGTGGTTCTTGGAATTTCTGCTGTGCAATTTTCACTCCCAATACCTTGCTGTGTACCTTGAGCTGTGTCAGTTGAAATGAGTTGAAAGTCCCAGCTGGTCAGATGCACAGGCGGGACAACCAGTGTGTCTGTTGTGGAACCTGCCCTAACAGCGACTGCTCTGTAGTGCTCAGTGGAGAAAAGAGGCACTGCTCAGTGTGTTTGTTTTCCCCCTTTTCTGTTTTAAGGAAGAAAGAGAAAATCCTGCAAAAAGAAGTAGAATTGAACGGGATATAGATAACAACTTGATCACGTCCACACCTCAAACAGGAGAAAAGCCCAATAAACAGATCTCTCGAGTCAGACGGAAAGGTCAAGTGAATGGAGGTTTGTAAATATTCCAATCGTGCGCTGTGACGTGTGAGCGGTGACTCTTCCAGCTGGTAACTGATACAGGACACTTCTTCATTGCTAAAGGTTACAAAGTGCTTTGTGATTGACCTCAGCAGTAGCAAGGCTGAACTTAGGGTAGCAAAATAAGATTTCTGTGACTTAAGTGCAAGCTAAAATGGATGTATCTGATAAGTAATATAATCTTTGTAAGAACCATGTCGGTGTATGGTAATAATCAGCTGACTGGAACTCTTGCTTTTTTACAGAAAGAAGAGCCATTAATAATTATTTTATTTAGCTCTTCTTCCATTTTCTCGCAAGCAGCGAAATATTTCCCAACTCAGCACCTTTGCCATAGTAACCAGGATTCCTTAGAGATGGAAAGCTCTTGTCAAACATGTAGACAGGCTTCTGTTGTAGAGCCGTATCAAAATGCAGATGGGCTGGGACCCCTGAAGGCTGTCAGCACCAGGCCTGCTGCTTCTCCCCCAGCAAGGTCCATCCAACGTGAGGAGAGCCCTGACTGAAGTTCCAGTGGGTTCCTCAGAGCCTGGGCCTGTCAAGTTCCAGATAAATCAAAGGGTGGAGATTCCCCTGTGCCAGTGTTTGATCACCTCATTGTGAAAATTGTCTTTTTAGTACCTCTTATAATGACAGACTGAGATACTTGTGTCAGATAAAATATTCAAGGAAAATTGAAGTGTCAGCTGTGGTTCCAGATCTGTCTTAAAAAAAAAAAACAAAAAAATCCCGCATTTTTTGGGCTGCTTTTCCTAAGGAAACAAGTCTTCATGTGTTTGTGCTGCCTGTCAGTGTTCCAGTACGTTTGGAATCCATTGTCTGGCGTTTGCCAAGTTTCATATTCTAACAAGGTTTTTAAAATCAGTAGCTCCAAATGAGTGACTTCAGTGACGGGAGGGATACAGGGTGAGAGGATTACCTGCTTGGTTATTGTCAGGTGTCTGTGTAACATGATTTTGGGAGTATTTACTGCTGCTCATTAATTTTTTTTTTGTCTGAGAAATAATGGCTGTGCACGCACTCACAGTGTGATGCATGCAGCCTGCTGAGAGGTGAAGGAGGAGCTGTTCACTGGAATGCCATGGTGTGAGGTGTGCGTGTGCACTGAGGGCACGTTGCTGTCGTAAGCACACGAAGCTGTTAGTGAAGATGGTGGTAGCATGGAGCACTGAGTTGCAGCTCACACACCCTGCGTTTTATGTAAAAATGACAAGAAGTGTGAAGTACTTGTGCAGCTCCATCAGGCTCAGCTGAGTTCTCAGCTTATGTGCACGAAATGCATTTGCTTATGTCCATATGGACAGACATCTCAAAGACTTGTTACTGCAAAGTAAATAACTCCTCTTGTTTTGGGCTCAGAGTGATGTCTTGGATCTCACCCACGAGACAGCAGCTCTTAGTTGTAGGGTGTACTTCATGTGCACATTTATAGAAAGCCTTCATTGTTACGTGCTACGTTGTTGTAACAGGAAGACTTATTTAATTCTGTTGTCTTTGTTATCTTTGGTAACAGCTAAGAATTATTTTACTTTATAATTGCATTTGTGTGCTTGTTGCGATGGGTGTGCAGCGTTTTAAAAACTGCCATCATCAAGCACATGCACAGGGTTAAAGCTTCTGTTAGTTCATCTGTAACACAATTCTTATGAAAAATTACTGCTTCCTCATTTGAAGTGTGAAGCTCAGGTGATTCCTGTGCTGACACTGAATTGCTAACCTTTTATTTTTGCCGACCAAGGAGAGCATGTATACTTTCCTGTAGTGAAAGTAAGAGCAATATGAGAGAGGCTGTAACTGTGAAAGAGCAGCGTGGTCCTACACTGCATAACTCTTGTTTTGCAGAAGCTGGAAGTTACGAAATGACAAACCAACATGTGAAGCAGAATGGGAAATTGGAAGATAACCCTGCCACTGGCAGCCCCCCGCGAACCACGTTACTGGGAACCATATTTTCTCCCGTCTTCAATTTTTTTTCACCAGCAAATAAAAATGGTAAGCAATGTTTGGAAGCCTGTAGTCTTAAAGCTAAGAATGATGGTTTTTTGTCTTGTTTTTTAATATGAACGTGTTGCTGTTCATTCCAGTTTTCAAACCAGAAATTACTACTTTTGGAGAGGACCTCCTTCCCAATTCTTTGAAGGGTTATTATTAATAAAAGGAAGAATAAGCTTATATTCATTAGAATATTTATCTTATCTTTTGTAAGTGTAGGTACTTAGCAGGGTGCTTTTTATTGGAAAAGTAAAATAAAGAACCGCTCTGAAGTTCCTTGTCTGACACAGGCATTTGTCATGGTTCTTTTGGTTCTTATTTTTGTAAAATGAATCAGATAAAGCTGTCTTCAGTTATTCTGAAGCATTTTTTGGTGTTTCGTGATGCCCATCAGTATTCTGTTAGGTGTAAAGATAGTGACTGTGTGTCTGCTGTCACCTTAATTCAGGAACATCAGGATCGGATTCTCCAGGACAAGCTGTTGAGGCTGAAGAAATAGTCAAACAGCTTGATATGGAGCAGGTGGATGAGATTACTACAAGTACTGCAACATCAACCAATGGAGCAGCTTACACTAGCCAGGCAGTGCAGGTCAGATCTGCTGTCAACAATGGTTTAGAAGAAGTAGAAGAAACAAATGATCGTGACCTGCCCCCACTTACAGGTAAGAAATGTGTGCTCGTGTTTCACTCAGCTCTTGAGGCTGTAGGTAATTAGCAGCCTTAGAGAAGACCTAGTGCCAGTATTTCCTATATATGAATATTTCACGTTTGCTTAAAGCCTGTAAGCAGTATTATCAATTCTTATGTTCAACAGACAGAACATTTTTATGCATCAGAGACACAGCTCTTGCAAATCTCATGTATTTTCAGTATAACTTAGTCGACTTCATAACATTTCTTCAAATGAAAACAGACATTGAAGAAGAAAGACACTTTTATTACTGCTTACTCCCCTTCACACACACATTAAAAATGCATACCCTAGACTTGCTGATCGTGAAAGAAAATTGTGACATTTTAGTACCTTACACTAGAATGACATGTTGGGATGAATAAAAACATAAAGATCCTCTTTAATCATCCAGATTTTCTTCAGAAGACTCCTCAGAAGTCTTTTTGGACAAAAATAGTGTCCATAAAATTCAGGGCCCACATCAACTACTTTACAGTTACCTAAATCTTTGCTGGATTCTGAAAATGCTGGTAGCTGATGCTTATGAGATTTGTGAGAACTACTTTGAAGAGACTGTATTTTAGCTCTGAGTAAAGGGCTGATGTGTGATCCAGTACGGACCTGTGATCAGCTCGCCCCGTCTGCGTCTAAAGCTCCTGTTGCCTTGCTCTGATGGGCACTGCAGGCTGGGAAGGAGCTGCAGACTGAAAGGTTTGTGCTGCCTTCTGAGGGCTGCCTGGCACAGATGTTTCTCTGTGGCAAAAACTCCCCAACAAACGCTGGGTGGTGGGATGTGCACCCAGGTAGCCCTCAGCGCATGGATGCTTTGCTCTGTAGCGTGGACAGTTGCATCTGTCCAGGTCCTGCAGTTCTGTGGGGTGGCAGGGCTTCACCTCTGAGGAGGCGTGGTGAGAAGATGTGCAGGCCGTTCAGGAAGGTGGGGGGGGACTGGCAAGGTGGGGCTGAAGGGAGATTTTTTCACTGTTGTTTGAAGCATTCGGGTGTAAAATGCAAATTCTCACTTTTAAAAGCTTCACTAATAAGACCAGCTCTTGTGTCATTTTTTGCTTGTTTTATTTTTGCTTTGGTCGTTTTCGTTGAATTTTAGCACCAGTGTCTCCAGACAGTGGCTACTCATCAGCTCATGCAGAAGCCACCTATGAAGAAGACTGGGAAGTCTTTGATCCGTAAGTGCTGATATTTGTGCTTGAAATATAAAAATGATCACATTGGGTATTGCATTAATGAACTGTTACTTGAGTTGGTACATTTTTGCTTATTATGGTAATGAAGTCCACAATCTCTCAATTTGATGCAAATACAAATTGATATATATAGATATTTTGTTGTTTAAATTATTTTTATGTGGCCTTAAGTATTTTAAATATTTACTTGGGCTAAAACTACACCAATTTAATAATTCATATACATTTCTACAACAAGATCTGTATTCGTTCCAGATACTATTTCATCAAACATGTTCCACCACTAACAGAAGAACAACTGAACAGGAAGCCAGCTCTTCCACTGAAAACAAGAAGCACACCAGAATTTTCATTAGTTTTAGACTTGGTAAGTGTCTTTAGAAACACAAAGCAAAAGCAGGAGATGCACAGCATTTGATTTCCATTTTAGTAAATGGAAAAATTTAGCTTCGTATGCTTGCATCAAAATGGACCAGGAATGAATCTTTGAACTGTTACAACATTGTTGTTCGGCCACTTTTGAAAAGATTTATGGAAAATAAATCTGACTTTAGGATGATTTCCTGAAGTCTCTCTGTTTTGAAGTGTTTTCAGACACCGCTGACGATGTCAGGAAGGAGATCATGGGTGCTGCCAGGCGCTGTGTCCTCCAGCGGCCGCAGCAGCGGGCAGATGATTCACAGTGGTAGCTGTGCATTTCATCTGAGTAAAGGATGGCTGCAGAGTTTGAAGACCACCTTTAATTATGCTGCTACCACGCAATTCTAAGTGATTTTTTTTAATTGCAATAATAATGAAAGGACGCTATCAGGACAGCATTAGCACAGAAATGTTCCAGATTAAGTAAGCTTACCTTAAAAGGAACGTCTGGACAACTGCTCTTATTTTCAACGTTGTTCTCATAATTTTTTCTTACTCACATACCATCTTCTGATTTTTTCTAGGATGAAACATTAGTGCACTGTAGTCTGAATGAATTAGAAGATGCTGCACTCACTTTTCCAGTTCTTTTTCAAGATGTCATTTACCAGGTAATTAGCTTGCATATGTATGTACCTTTTATTTAACGTGTGAATTCTTGCTGTGTATATTTGTTATGGTCCTGTCTGAAGAGATAAGTGTATGGCATATAACAACTTGTCCGGGTTACGAACTGCGGGTGTCAAATTCTGCAGGGTGGATTATGCTGTCAGAGATACTGTGGAGCACTGCTTAATGCCACAACGTGGTAATGTCGCTGGTTCCAATTGTAAACAATCATTGCTAAGGAGGTGTAAATGATCTTTGTAGCAGCAATCTTCAGCAGCAACATTTCTCCTTGCCAGCAGGTGGAGGCAGAAACACTGAAAGTTTAGCCAGCATTATTTCCTGGGTGCAGCTTCTCGTGGACTGTTAATTTTCTTCCCTTCATATGGAAAACCAACTCTCACTGGTTGATCATTTCTTTCTATAAAGAAGACATCTTCCAAGCCTGATTAACTAGCTTCTGTCTGGATCATTAGTCTTGCTGTGCCCTCCACCAGTGCTAGTTCTACCTCTTTACTCCCAAAGAGTCTGCTTGGTGCTTAGAGTGACTTTGATTGTCTTGTGGAGACTGCTAGATTTAGTTTTTTGTTCTGCTTTAGGAGGTATTGTTAGTTACGTGTGTTTTACCTTGACGTACCAGAGGAGCAAGCGTGAGAAGGAGGAACTCTCTTCCAGCAACTACCAAAGATGCTGCACTGACCCAGGCTGTTGTTCTCAGGTCCTTTTGTGGGATGTGCCTGGGAGTAGCATCAGCTTCCCCACCATGTAGTTCGCACGATATTGGACCCCACTGTAGTATCTTTGGAGAGTGAGCCAGTCATCAGGCACCTTAAAAGGACACTTGTCCAGGTATTTTTCCTGATTTTAAAAATGTTTTCTTCACTGTTGCATATAAAAACCTTGGAATCTGAAAAGCTGAAATAATTTTTAAACATGGATTTCTTATCTCTTATTTGGTGACAGCCACGCTTAGTTTGCTTCAGACTGAACTTTGGAAGGAGCCTTAGAATTCGCTCTTTAGAGGTTCTTGACATCGCTGACAGGATCAGGAAGGCGAAAGCTTTGGTTTTTTCCTTCCCTCACTTGAGGGATCTTGGTGCGACTTTGAGTGTTTTCCTTCTAAATTGCCATCCTTTTAGTGGTTGTGTGTCTAAATGAGAGTGGCTGAAGTTTAACCAGGATTTTATCTGTAAGAAATTGAAGTCAATGGAAAGAGTGACTCAATGGTATTTGTAAATGCTTATTTAACAGCATTGTATCAAGGGCTGTACAGACACGGGTACAGTAAAGTTGCTGTGCGGGTCCTAGATAAGTTTTGTCTGAGCTTTCTCTGGAGCCTAGCTTGGAATTACAAAGGAACAAAAGCTGCTTGTGAGTCTGAGAAAGTCAGAAAGTCAGCCACCAGCTGTGAGCACACTGTGGTCATTATGTTCTGGTTACCTGGTTTTACATCGCTCTGGACAGCATTCACCTCTTGCTGTGTAACAGTTAATGAGCAGGAGAGATATTTTAAAGATGTTTAACTGGAGTGTCATACACAGAAAGACAAGTGATCTTCTGTGGTGCAAGTTGAGGTTTGTGGATATCACGTGCCCTTTTTAGTACTTTCAGTGAGCAGCCTTTTCCAGTGTCTGTCTTTTGCTCAGCAATTCACCATTGCCTCCAGTAAGTGCCGTGTGAATTCCATCTCCGTGTTTCATTTTGGAAGTGACTCCGGTTGCCCACAAAGAAGCAGGTGCTGAGCTGTCTCAGCAGAGTTAAGTCAGCAAGCTGCTATATATAAAGCCTGCTGCAAACAATACCTAGTGTGCAAGTTGCATTGCTGAAGATACTTTCATTAGCATCAGAAGATCTACCACTTCTGTGTAGGCTTTCAGAAATATTAGACAATTACTTATTACTTTCTTAAGGGAGAGTAAAACCTAGCTCAGTATGCATTTTCTGTCTGAATGGCTGATTTTCCTTGCACTAAGGCTGACTAATAATGCAAAAGTAGATCTGAGCTCATATCATGTTGATTCTTACCCTTCTAAAGGCATCTGTTGCACTGTTGCTGTGATGATAAACGGGTGCTTTCTCAAGAAGGTGCTCCAGAGCCGATCTCTGCAAAGTAAGACAACAGTAAGAGTCAGACTGTGTTCTGCTGGAGAAGGCTGTGGTAATGTGTGCCTAAACTCCATCGGCCTTGAGCTGAGCAACGAGTTTCTAGGCCAGGAACTCAGCTCCATTGCTGCTTGTTTCAGTGACTGGTAGCCTATTTTAAAAAAGAGTTTTTGAAAATAAGGGCTTGACTGTTCAGAAGCTATTTCTCAGAACTTACCATGGAGTGTGCAGAAAAGAATATGTGACACATGAGCACAGAGCAGAGTTCTTCTAACTGAAAAGTTACAGCGCAGTTCTTGCACTGACGTGCTTTTTTTTTTAATCTTTGGGTGAGTCACAAAGTCACTGATTTCCATTTAGAAAGGAAAAAGATCTGTAAGATGGGGGCAGTTGTGCTTGCTTATTTCAGGTTTTTGAGACCATACATTTGTCTGTTTCTTCAGTTGAAAAATCTCTAGATTATACCAGTGTTTATGTTTTGGACTCAATGAAAAGAGAGTATTAGTGAAGCTCAAGTTTTAATAAATAATAAACCCAGTAAGCACTACCTGGCATCTGACAGTAAAAAGTGAATGTTCATCTCTTCAACTGAAAAGGAGGTTTTTTACCATTTGCAGTGTTGTGACACATCACGGTGAGCAGCTCATCTTTGTGAGAAATGTGTGTTTGTTGGGATATTGTCCTTCGTGGCCAGGAGGTTTCTGTTGTATTTGGTTCCTGTTGTGTGGCACCAGGTGCCAGCAGCTCCCATCAGCACTGCTGGGCGCGTACCTCCGCGCTGAGCCGTGCCAAAGGCAGCTGGTTTCAGTTCTTCAGTTTAAGGACTCTTCACTGATCTATTGCACAGTACTGATTGTGATCCTGAGAGATGTTCTGGCGGCACACGGACGAGTTGTAGGTCGTGGAATGCGGCGTTATGAACGTTCCATCTTGCTGTCACTAAAGGCTACTTAGTTGCTTCGTTACTGTACTGGAATGAGGCAAATGGTGCTGGTGAATTCTGGCTCTCCTTCCTAATGAAATCTCTGCTCTGTTCCTCTGAAATATCTGAAGGCCTTTGGTGTCTTGGGCAGCATCCACAAAGCAGTCTGCTCATAGGTCAGAAATCCTTCCTTCCTTTTAGCTTCGGAGTCAAACTTGGTGGGAAGACGTGGGCAGTATGCAAGAAGAGAAGGAAGCTGAGGGAGAAAGGGGAATGCTGGTGTGTCCTGTTCTGCTTTAGTTACTTGGTTCTGCTCTGGTTACCTGGCGTTCTCTCGGCTGGTTCTGGCTGGAGGTGGGGATGTGATTGCCTTCTGCTCTGCCGCAGTGCCACAAACCACTCAAAGCAGAGCAATGAATTTGCCATCCATGTCATCCATGTGTGTATAAAGCACAACGAGAAAGGCGTCATCTGAAACGAAATCGCTTTTCCCTGGGCTTGTTGTTTGTGTTTGTACCTGAACTTCTTAGATATGAAGACAGCCGTTGCATTAAGATAGATAAACACTTACAAGGATGTGTCAGTAATCTAAAGCAGAGCACACTGAAAGGTGCTGTAATAATCCACAGACTAAACAAACTGAAAAAGAAAAGAGAAAACACGTGCACTTGAGGAACCCAAGCAATTATAAGTGCTCTTTGATGTAATTGAATGATCTTAAGAGTCATTCAGCTGGCCATTGATACAAATAAATGGAGTTCAGTCCAGACTTAAAATGAACAATGAATTCGATACTGAGTGCTTTCATAGTAGCAGGAGTTGAAATACTGGCACATAGCTTCCTGCTGTCGTTGCTAGGAGAGTAGAAGAGATGGTAAAGAGCCTGGTTCTGAAATGACATCTGTGTTTTTTCCATCAAAGAGAACAGGTTTGTCAATTTGAAATTGAGCTCTTGAAGAAAACTTTGTACCAAATATCATCCTGCTTGCTTACCATTATTTGCAGCTACTGCCCCCCGTGCAGTGAAAACATTCATGTCGTGTGACTCGCTTTCAGTTTTCAAGAGTTAAGATTTGGGTCCCAGTATGAAGAATATTTGCTCAGGAAAATCACGAGTAGAACAATCCTTTGCATCTGCAACAGAATGCTTGCTTTCCCTTAAACTGAAGGTTACACCTGTAGAAGATGCTGGCAGTGCTACTTGCTCTTGTGTAGAGGAAGAGCAGGACAAACAACTTGCACTGAATTTGCAGTCACAGATAATTTGAATATTATTTAATGGTTCACCTGGAGGCTGAGTTACTTCATTGCGTTTGTCCTCGTGGTAAGAGAAACCACTCACCCAGTCTTTGAGCAAAACCTCACTGCCTTAGCAGAGCTGAATGAGATGTCATTTTCAGAAAGATTTCAGTGCCATCAGGAGACATATGGCATGAAGACACGCTTGTCAGCTCTGCATGCAGACAGTTGGCTGTTCAGGAGCGCCTTGGCTGGGTGGAGCACAGAAACCCATGGCTGTGTCTCCAGCCGTTCTCTGTGGGCAGGCTGGGGTACCTGCATCCTGACAGCGAGCTGCCCACAGGGAGAAGGGGAGCAGATGCTGGTTGTGCCATCAGTGAATGCATCTCAGCACGGCACGCGTGGCGATGCTGTGAGCAGATGTGACAGGACTGCGTGCTCCTGGTGTAGAAAAAATACAGTTTCTGTTACCACAGTAACTTGTCACTCTGCAGGCTTAACTCAGGGCTTTAGATGCTTCAAGAAAGTAATAAAAGCCTTATTCAGAGTTAAGCTGAATAATGAAATTTCCCTTGGTTTAGAAATACATGCCTACTTGAAAGGACTAAGATCTGTTGCCACCTGTGCTAATGATGGGAAACTGCATTTATTTAAACCACTCCTCTTTTCTTTCTTTCTGTCTGCATATAAGTTTGATACAATTCAGTTCAATTAATGCAGATCCTTACTGGAGATTTACTTTTGAAAGTAAACTTAAGCCGATTCCTAACCGTTGTTAAAATAATTGGCAAAGCTGAAATTAACTGGGTTCAAATACAAGTCCAGCACGCTCCCTTTTCTTTCTGGGTACGTTAATGGAACGTTTCTCAAAGGCACGTAAGTCTACACGTGGGCAGTCTGTGAATCAAGAAGACAGGTAAGGTACGATAAGGTTGTTGTTCACCCCTCGGTGTGTGTCCCCACCACTGTGCTCCACGTGTGCCCTCACCTGGGCCGTGGTGTTGGGCCGTTGCCCTGCAGCCATAGATCCACGCAGTGCCTCCGTGCAGCCTAGGTCTTGTACTGCGAGCTCAGGAACAGCGAGAGGAGACGCCAGCATCACCTCTTGCTGTGTCTCTTATCAGGGTCTGTTTTGTCACAGGGAATAATTTGAGTGTATGTGCAGTTCTTCTCTGGTGCGTGAATTAACTGAGCTTTGGAAGCAGCTGAAGCCAGTTGCTCGGGTTATTTCTGCCCCTTCTGACACCCCCATATTCAGCGTGCAACTCTTGGTAGAAGGAGGTTATTGGGAAGGCTGTTGTTACGTTGGCATGCATCATCCAGTCCTGGAGCTGGTGCTGCCCAGCTGCTGAGGGCTGATTTAAAATGCTGAATCAAAGCAGCTGGCTTCAATTTTCTCAAGAAGTTATCTAACCTTTATATTTCAAATAATTATCTAGTTTTAAATACAGTTTAAATAATTTCTATCACATTCTTTAGTTATGCCTGATTTTGCCATATTGCGGTTTCTTTTTTAGCTGCTTAGGCTTCGAGCTGATTTAATTTTGCTTTCATTGAATTGTTATTCTGTAGGAAATTAGTATTTGCTTTCTCCTGAATTCATAACACTCATCCTGCCATAATCTGTACAAATCGATGCTTAACAGTGCGGGCGGCAGCTGCAGTGTTGTGAAGCCTTTAATGAAGTCCATCTCTGCTGCAGGTTTACGTGCGGTTAAGGCCGTTCTTCCGAGAATTCCTGGAACGTATGTCTCAGATTTATGAGGTAAAAATAATGCAGTATTGCCTTTGAATTTTATTTTTAAATTATTTTCACGTGTTTATACATAAAATAATTACTGTTTTCTTCTCTTGTCTGTAGATCATTCTTTTTACCGCTTCTAAGAAGGTGTATGCAGACAAATTACTGAATATCCTAGACCCTAAAAAGCAACTAGTCAGGTAAAATACCAAATGGCAGCCATGGCTGTTGTGGGCAAACGAGTCCTTTCCTACGAGATGAGGGGACTATCTCTTTATAGTTGTCTTTATGAATGCTATTTCTTACTCAGCCACAAAATAATTTGTGAGTTATTCTGGTTTTTCATTTCTTTTGTTAATACTGAGCTTTGTTTGGAAGAGGTTAATGTTTCTCAAGAGCAGGGCCTTAAGACACAATGACTCCTATCAGGTGAACTTTGTTGTCCCCATCTGCAAGCAGACTGCTGCATGGGAAAGCTGAAAGTGCAGAGGGGATTTCTCAGGGATTCATTCTAATTAGGGACATGAAGAACTGCACTCAGCTGATGTTGGGTCGGTAAATTCGGTACTGGGATGTCATATTGCTGGAACACCTGAGCCTCCTGAAGCACACAGCCAGACAGGATGTACAGACAAGTACTGTACTGCTCCTCCGTGTGCATCCGTAACGTGACGTTTTTCCCTCCAAGGGTCTGATGGTTAGGATTGAGGACTGCAGTTTTATCTGTGCTGTGAACAGGAAAGGTAACAAAGCGTGCAGGCAGGCAGTATGCTAAGAATGTTCAGAAATTCTCTGAAATGCGTGTGGTGCATGAATGTAGCTGTGAGTCATGTGCCTCTGAGAAGCTGACATCAGGGCGTGATGAGTTCTGACATGAGCCTCGCAGTGGATTTGTCAGGCACTCCACACGTGTGACTCAGAATCTATATATAAATTCATTCGCTGCTGAGGCATCAGCTTATTTTCTTCCTTAGCAACATCAGGAACTCAGCCCCTTCATGAAAGTAGTAAGCATGCTACGTACAGCTTCTAAAAATTCCACTTACGTATGCAAGCAGCTTTAAAGAAACTGCACTGTAATACTACATTGTAAAATCTGAAATCTATCCTGTTCACAAATGATTTTTAATTACAATTATTCTGATATTTCATGAAATTTGTTTTATTCCCGCTCTTTTTAATGAGTTCTATTATTCTACCAATCCATTTACTAATTAATTAGTAATAAAAGAGAATATACTAATTGGAAAGGAAGAAGTTGATGGAATGTTTTGGCCTCAAGGCTTTTTTCAAGCTCTAAAAACTGAAAATAGGTTAATTGCCAACAGAGGTAACGTCAGAAGGGGAGAGCGTTTCACGCAGCGCTTTGCAGCGTGTGCTGCAGCGTTGGGAGCAGAGCAGAAAGGACAAATGCTGTAAATTGGTTGGAGTGCAGATCTCACCCCTGAGCTTTGGGCCTTGTGAAATAGTTTCAGTATCTCGGGTGCCCCTGTCAGGCCATCTGCAAGGAGGGTTAGAAGGTGACACCACAGCGACAAATGTTTCTTGCATCTGAGCTGAGCTTTCCTGCTTAAATACAGAACGGTTGCCTGCAGAACTTGATCAATATAAAATCAAGTTAACCACTGATCTTTTTCTGAGTGAAAAGCTCAGAACGTGGGACGGTTTTTAGAAATCTGGTAAGAGGGGAAAAGAGTGGGTAACGTTTGGCAGCACCAGCTTCTCTTTTTCCCTAAGCCATGTAGGTGTTCAGTTTCTCTCATTAATGAGTATTCTAATTTAATCGCAGGCATCGACTTTTCCGTGAGCATTGTGTCTGTGTACAAGGAAATTACATAAAGGATTTAAACATTCTTGGTAGAGATCTTTCAAAAACGATCATCATTGACAATTCACCGCAAGCCTTTGCCTATCAGGTACGTGTGCTGCCATCAGCAAAGCTTCTCCATGTGGGAAAACCTTTCCAAAGGAAGACAGTGAAACTCTACCTACATGTTACGCTTTGTATTTAAGTTTACAGAGCACACTGATGTTCAGGTTTACAAAGCCAGTTGCTCAGGTTTCCTTGCTCTTTTTGGATTCTTGTGAAGAATCAGTCCAATGTGAACCTGCCCTTACATTGGGAACTACCTGTAACCAGGCAGTGTTATTTTGCAGTTCAGCTTTTCTCCAGAAGCTGCCAGGTCTATTGAGACTGTCCCTTGGACGCTTCTGCAGAATTAGTTTTCTAGTGCTAATGAAGTAACTTAGGACAGTGGCTGGTTGGGTTCTCACTTGTGAAAATTGCTTACAATAGATGCTATAAAGTTGCACTCTGTGACTTAGATTGTTCCAGGCGTGTGGCACCATGACTAACGCTGCTAAAGCACGCGGGCTGCAGTGCCTCTGAGAGCCTGAACACCAGAAGCCTGCTTGGCTTCCCCTCGTTAGCACAAAGTGCAGCCAGTGCTCAGCCGGTGCGCGTAGTTGGATCGTAAGGCTTTGGCAACGCTTCTCAGCGCAGCAGAACTTCTACAGCTGGGTCTGCTTCGGCTTTGATGTGGAAGTTTTTGCAATGATTCATGCAAAGTCATTGGGGGAGTCATTGCAGGAGTGATTTTTCGTACAAACTTTGGTTATGCATTAATAAACTTGAGCTTGGAAGCTTTTTTCCCCAAAATGTCATTTCACAAGTCACGTTTCTAGGTAAATTAATTCATGTGTTGATGTTTGTTTTTTTTACTTTAGCTTTCAAATGGAATTCCTATAGAAAGCTGGTTCATGGATAAAAATGACAATGAACTCCTAAAATTGATTCCATTTCTGGAGAAACTTGTAGAGCTGGTAAGTCTGTCTCTCCTTTATTTGTCAGCCTCACAACTCCCAGCCCGACGCGTTGTTTGTTCTTCCAAACAGCAGCACGTGCCTTAAGGCTGAAATTCTGACTGCTGGAAGTCGCGGGCGCCTCTTGGAAGGCGTTACTGTGCAGTAATGGAGAGGTTGTGCAGGGATTTGTTTACATAGCAGAAGGCAGAGTGGCTCATTTCCAACTGTGCTTTCAATCAGAGACTGGAAAGCGGTGACACGAATTATAACGAAATGGAGACTTTGTAGAATTAAATACTGCCTTTATTCTTAAAACGGAAATAATTCGATTCCTCAGTTGCTGCGAACGTTACGTAGCTGTTCCTGTGAGCCTCTTGTAATTAGAAACATTCACAGCTTCCAGTTTGTTGTATTAATGCACAGCCGTTGGAGGCTGGCCCTGCTATGGTCCGACCTGCAGAGCTGTTCATTCTTCTGACTCCCTCACGTGTGTTTTCCCTGCAGAATGAAGATGTCCGGCCTCACATCAGAGACAGATTTCGCTTGCATGACTTGCTACCCCCGGATTAAAGCCTTCGGTCTGATTACTGGAGGGGGAGAAAATGCAGGACCCTTTTGGACTGAAACAAAACATTGCCATTACTGTTGAAATTTTGCATTTTTGTACCCCGTCTTGCTTTTCTTATCTTTGGTGCCCAACAATAATCAAGGGTTACAGAAAGAGACTTTATATATCTGAGATTGAACACAAACAGTACAATACAGTACAACGCAGTAGGTAGGCTAGAACAGAAAAGTCTTTAGAACTAGTGCGACTCCGATGAAATTTTTTATGTACAGGACATCTGCAGTTTATAAAGAATTCTGTTTCTGCCACCAGCAGTTTGACCTGTAGAAACACAGGATTTTATGATATAACAGAGATTGAAAAAAGAGTCTTCTTTTCTCTCTGTTCGGTGCTCTAAGTGGGTTTGTAGCCACTTTTCTGTTACTTTAGAGATTCTCATTTCAACAGGAATGGCCAGTAAAAGTTGTTTTTATTTTTCCTGTTAAGGTTTATAACCTTTTTACACTTTTGACCTGTATTAGATTAGAATTTCATTATGCATTCCTTTTAGTTGAGGCGCTTCATAGTTTTTCTGGGAATAGCCAAATTTTCTTAGTTTTTTATTATACAGTTGAATGGCCGTTTTCCTGCTTCGTCTGCCTGCATACTGTATATTTGTTTAAAAATATTCTCTAGTTTTAATCCACGTAAGTTTCATTTAGAAAGAAAAACCCCGCATTTATATTTTGTTTCTGTAATATTCTACTGTAGTTGAAATCTTTTCAAAAATCGAGAGACTGGCTAGATAAGAAGAATATAAGAATTACTAATATTCGGAATATTTTAAACCATTGTGATGGCACGTGCTCCGGACAGACAGTATCTTGCAGTGGCACAAACACCGGTGGACAAGGAATACCTCAGGCTGTCCTGTGCATGCCAGCCGTGGCGGGAGAATAGCTTGGGCCGTGCGGGCACCACGCGTCGCAGTGCCGCTGCCTCGGGGCCGCTCCGCGAGCGGCGAGGGCTGCAGGCTCAGAGGGCTGCAGGCTCAGAGGGCTGCAGGCTC